GAGAATACCGGCAAGGTTGCCGATTTTCACCTCCAAGCTTTGAAGGCTCTCTTGATGACTTCGGAGACCCGCCTCAACCGAGGTAAACTTGGTAGTCGCCACATCCATAAATTGCTCAATCTTATCAAACTTTTGGCTACTCGTACTCACAGAGGTGTTTAGTAGGTGCTCAAGCTTAGATAGGTTGTCGGGTTTTTGTTGTTGAAACCCTAGGGCACCTTGTGATTGATACGGTGTTGGAAGTTTGAGCCTTGGAGTTGGGGCCTTTATTGGATAAAGGTCGGTCGAGGTTGGAAATTTCCCGTGGGGCCTTGAAAACCCGGGGGCCTCGGATTTGTCGGCGATGCCCAGGCAAAGTTGGGGTGGTTCCTCCATCCAGGGTTATAAGTATTGCTATACGGGTTGTCGAACCTAGCATTTGCCATGAAGTTAACTTGCTCCTCCAGAGTGGGTTCCTCCTTCATTGCTTGACACTCCGCCATTTCATGACTGGTGCTGCAGCACCAGTCACACAACATCACCGGCCTTTTTCCTTGCCTCTTATCTTCAAGCATAACGTCAAGCAACTTACCCAACTTTGCCTCAAGCGCAGCACTCGCTCCCACGCTTCTCACTCCCCTATCATTGCCTCTTCTTCCACTTCTAGTCAACCCCCAACCGTATCCCCTAAGGGCCATGTCTTCAAGTATCTCGTTTATTTGGGGTGGAGCCATATTCATCAATTTTCCTTGACACAAGGAGTCAATGAATGATACGCCTAGAAATACACATATTTATTCCCACATTTAAGTATCCAATTGGCTTGTAAAATAAAATAAGTTCAGTTGTTTTCCAGTTTTACGCTTGGTTTTGTGTGTTTTGATGTTTTAGGATATTCAAAGAAATGTAGGAGAGAAAAGGGTCAACTCGTCTCAAATCATGATTGAAAAGGAGAAATTACGAACCAACGTTGGAGATGGTATAGTAAGCTCAAGATGAGTACTCAAATTTGTCAAATTTGTACCCCATGCAACCAAGCTCAATGGTTATACATTCCACCACGAACTACGTATGCATGGAATTGAAATTGGCGCACGTCAAATGGAAGAGTACAAGCTTGCGGCTCGAGCAGGCTGGTCCATTATTGGAAGCTAGCAGCTGAATTAAATGCTTCTACCAAGCAAGCAGGCTGCTAAAGCTAGCAGCTATTCGATTGGAATTAGAAATGCAACGAGAATTTGCAAGCAAGTTGGTCTCCATGTGGCCTATTAATTAGCGCTGGTGAAGTGGGTCTGTGACTGGTGGAAGCAAGCAAGTGGAAATGGGAAGCTAGTTGATGAATTAATTGGACACGTCTGGGCAAAAGAAATGGAAAACTAGCTGGTGAATTCGGAGGCCATGTCTTCTCCGCAAGCAACTAGCTCGAGCAAGCAGCTATTAGGCGCAACAATTTAAGACAAGCAACTATAAACTTCAATGGAGGGCTCTTGTTCATTTATTTGGAGCAGCTAGCTTCCTCTATAAATAACAGCGTACAGAGGCAAATTGGGACACTCATTCACGATAGAATCCTTTCTCTTCTTGTTGTTTCTATTTCATTCCATCCTTGTCAAAACTCTGCCAATTCTTGGTTGTAAGCTTTATATGATAACGGTTCCAACTCTTGAGATTAGCGGTAATATGTTACATACGTAAATTACCATAATAATTTTATTTAACTTCTAGGTTATTTATTGGTATAATGTACTTACCCTATTCTCATCTCTTCCGCTTGGTCAACAACAAGGTTTTGGTAACTTTTATATGTTTAATTTTCACGTTGTTACTATCGTGGGTTAAATGGGGACGGACTACCGCCCTACTCCCATATCTACCTTTTAAGTGGGGATTTGGTTTATACGATTAGCTAGCTCACTTGAGTTAGTTAAGTCCTTCCGTATCCCCATATCTATATTTTCGGAGTGGGGTTTGGTTTATTCGATTAGCTAGCTCACTTGAGCTAGCTAAGTCCTTCCACCCTTTCGTCCAATTTATATTATACTTATATTTATTTTTTGGAGTGGGGTTAGGTTTATATGATTGGTTACCTCACTTGAGATAACTATATCTTTCCGCCCTTCGTCCGTTTCAATGAAGAACTAAAAAACACGTTGTTTGGAGTGATGGAACCCTCGATGAAATTAAAGATCCAAACTCCTTTAAAACAATTTAACTAACGGATTTATGACAAATTAACATCTCTTGTGTTTGTTTATCTTGTTGCCGAATGAGAGGAGAGACCCTCCATTTAGGAAATTGTTGGAAGACAGAGTCGTCTAGAAACAGCAATCTGACTCCTTGGTCACCAAACACAAGAACCATTCAGGAAAAATTCATGAGAAATCAGGATTGATTTTTGTTGTCCATCTTGAGTGTAATTCGGGTCTTCATCTATCAACTTTCAATTATTTAATATGACGTGAAAACCGAGATTAGTAATTGGAAGCTGAACAAACTCATTGGTATGAAATTGCATGAATTCAATTTAGAAATTACGATGGGATGAAATTCATATTAAAACTTGCAATTGAATTGAGTTTATTCGGGATGAAACATCGAGGGGGAAACTAATCAAAACTACTTTTCTAAACCATTGTCTAATTAAAACAATTAGTTCATTATACACTAGATCACTAATACTTGAGTAAGGCAACAGAAAAGACCCTAGGGAAATACGACTTCAGTAAGTTTCACTTTTTGGGTTATCTTTGCATGCGCTTTTAGCGACATCAAATTTTGGCGCCTTTGCCGGGGACTTTTTCTAGTTGTGTGAAAAAGAATTATTTCCTTGTGTTATTTTACTTATTTTCCTACCTTGCTTTTCACGTGTATTTACTGTTTTTGTTTTTTTCAGGATTCCTTTTATTAATCGACCAAATACCAGATTTTACAAACAAAAACTTGAAGAAGTTGTCTACGAGACAGTGAGCAATCCCTCTGAAGTCAGAGATAGTGATTTTGCTAAACCAAGCGCATCTGGTATTGCCTCCAGCATTACTAGACCACCCATCACAACAGCAAACTTCAAACTACGCCATAGCACAATTCAGATGGTGCAGAACGTCGGTCAATTCAAAGGAAAGGAAGATGACAACCCCGTCCATCATGTACAAGTCTTTTTGGAAATTTGTGACTCCATCCAACACCAAGGAGCTACAGCAGATGCTATTAAGTTACGACCTTTCCTTTTCTCACTTAGAAGAAGAGATAAGTCGTGGCTTGACTCTCAAGCACCAGGAACCTTCACCACCTGGGACGATCTACCACAAGCTTTTGTGGAAGAATACTTTTGACTCGCTCCTACCGTAACTCTAGAAAATGGCCAAGTGTACCCACCTACTAAAACGTAGTATAGCGGGTTTGGGTTTTAATGTCAACCCGGGTCCTAAGTGCGATGACTACTCCGTGAGTTCTTATTATTTAGCAGTACTCCGTGAGTACTTATTATTTAGCAGTGAAAGTGTAGTGAAGGTCCAAACAAGCAAAGCAATTAAAGGTTGTTTTCAAGTTGAGAGAGGTCACCCGGATATGGTTCCCCCCTAGACTGCAATTAAGCCATATTGCAATTTACCAAGTTCAAGTTCAATGATAGTTATACTGCGGGAGGCTCTTAAACAGTCTGCAGTCTCGACTAAAGGTCTCCAGACCCTCTCAATCTGAGTCCCCAGCGGGCGACTAACCTCCACCGGAGTAAACATATTGAGGCCCTAACGAACTAAAGTCGTCAATTCACTACCTTCAATCAAGGGTTCTCTATCAACCTAGGCAGATATTCTCTTTCTAGGTTAAAGCAGAAACAACAGGAATTTGATCAGGATTCATGCCATTCAACAAATCAGACCTCAATTGAATATAATCATATCACTGAATCTATACTTGGGTTCATACAATCAGACCTAACATACAAATCTAGGGTTCTTCATACCCAGGTGAATAAGAAAATTACTCCAAAGAGAGACGGGAAATCTAGCTCATATGCGGAAACCATACAGTGAAGGATGAGATTCTGCTTCTAGCAATCAATCACCACTTCTCCAAGCTCAAGCCGGGCTCCAATGGTGATGGAGATCGATCTAAGGGACTTGGAGAATCAGGTTCGTCACTTTCTTTCTCTAGGTATACGCTTTATCTTTCTAAAACTCAAAACCCTTCACTTTTGCCCTTCTTTTCCCTTAAGAAGCTGTCAATCGCGATCCCGGGTCTGAATACCCGGTCGGGTATTTTAGGTGGAGACCGGGGATTGTTGAAACGCATCATCGAGGAAAGGGGATTAATCCCCGGTCAAGGTCAAGAATACCCGACCGGGAATTTTTCCTCAATTCCCGAGTCCCCTTCTGCTTCTCAAACGCCCAAAAGAGGTTTTCCCCGGTCTTCTCCGATTAATACCCGGCCGGGTATTTTTGCTCATGGCCGGGTATTTTGCTCCTCCAGTACACTTCAAGTCAAACGTGCTCCTTTCGACTCGAAACTCGTTTCTTCGCCTCGATGCGAACGCCAGGCCCTGAAATATGACATAAACACAGAACCTAGCGTGAAATCGGCTTAAAACACGAGAATCAACATCTCAAACGGCTAAAGAATAGGGGTAAAAACATGTGCAATTAACGCTCTATCAACTTTCCTACATGGAAGACAGACGAAATCAAGTAAAGAATATCTTACTTTCGCCAGCGAAGTGGAGAACCACTCTATGACGCCTGGAGACGATGCCAAGGATTACTTCACATTCATGGCCTCACCATGGGTTCGGACAAAAGAAGCTTGCCGACATCTTCGGGAAAGGTCTAGATGATGCCACAACAATCCTCATCAACCAGGCAGCAAATTGTGATATTACTCAGCTAATAGCTGATGCTGCCATGACACATTATGCGGATATAGCAGCCAAGACAAGAAATTGGGCAAGAAGAACTGCTCCTTGCCTAGCTAGTGTAAATAATGTCCATGAGTCATATGACTTTCCGACAACAATGATGCTACAAATGGAGGCAATCACCCAACAACTTTTTAAGTTGAAGACTTCCACAATCTCACCACCCGTAGCTTATATCTTTGAGTGTGATTTGTGTGATGGAAAAGACCACAACAGTATAGATTGCCTCAACTTTGGCCGTTCTCGCAAAGAAAAGGTTGACTATGTGGGACAGGGTTACCCACAAAATCGTCAAGGAGGATTCTTCAACAACAACAATCGCCTCAACAACAACAACTATCAGCCCCCAGGCAGTGCACCTGCTGCAGTTATTCGTCCAAACTTTGGGCTAAATCCTCCACAACAACCATATCCGAATCAGCGGCCCCAGCCCACTTACTATAATCCCAACAAGGATTTTGATAGAAGGCCACAAAATCAAGGCCCACCAGGCTATCAAACACAACCTCAATATAAGGGCCAAACTAGTGGAGCCTCTAACAACCAAACTGAAGATATGAGAAGAGTTGATATGCTCGAGAAGCTCATGTTGGGACAACAAGCATCCATCTCCAACATTGAATTACAAATGAGCAATCTGGCCAAGATATTGAGTGAAAGACCCCCTGGAACTCTTCCCAGCCACACGGAGAATAATCCCAAGGAGCAACTGAAGGTCATAACCCTTCGAAGTGGGAAGGGAACCGAGCCCCTACCCATGAAGATCACCAAACCAAGTACTCCTTCTCCAATGAAGTCGCCCAAAAATGTCATAATGGAAGCCGACCTGCATAACGAGAAGACCGAGCTAAATCTCTCATCTGAGCCCACTCTGCCACCATACCAACCAAAAGCTCCTTATCCTGCCAGATTGAACACGGAGCTTAGAGATGCAGCTTACCAAAATTTTCTGGATCTTTTAGGTAAGGTGCATGTCAACATCCCCTTCATTGCAGTCATCTCCAAAATGCCTCATTTATGAAGGAGATTCTCACACACAAGAGAAAGCTGAGAGATGTGGCTTCGGTTGTCCTTAATGAAGAATTCTCTGTCGTAATCCTCAACAAGAGTCTATCAAAAAAACCCAAAGATCCAGGAAGGTGCACTCTACCATGCATCATCAATAAACTAGAAGTGGGAAGAATTTTGGCCGATCTCGGAGCAAGCATTAATGTTATGCAATTTTGCCTCTATCAACAACTTGGGCTAGGCGAGCTCACTCCGACCAAGATGACTATCCAACTAGCAGAAAAATCCACACGCCCACCCCGTGGCATCCTGGAAGATGTGCTCGTGAAGGCGGGGCCATTTGTCTTCCCAGCAGATTTTGTGATAATGGATACCGACGAGACTGACGTTTCGTTAATCCTTGGCCATCCCTTCTTAGCAACGGCCAGAGCTATATTGGATGTTCATGACGGGAGGCTCACTCTACGAGTTAGAGATGCCACTGCCACCTTCCGACTAAATGATGGAATGAGATATGCCCATGTTCATGATGACCTCAACTCAATTGATGATGAAATTGAAATGGCATCTGTTTCGTGCATCACCATATTCCCGGAGGAAGACAATTCTGAAGTATTCTCACTTACAAATCTTGAAGAAGAAGGGGAAGATTCTGAGCATCTTGAGAAACAACAAGAAGTTACTAAAGAAGAATCTAATTTTTCAGAGGAAGAACTACTAGAAGAGGTGGTTGAGCTCCATAAAGTTCATCCCTTGAAAACTTCCTATGATGAACCACCAACCTTGGAGCTAAAAGCTTTACCAGAACATTTGGAGTACGCCTTCCTCAGCAACAACTCCAAATTGCTAGTCATCATTAACTCATCTCTTTCTCCACAACAGAAGGAACAACTAGTGGCTCTACTGAAAAAACACATAAGAGCCACTGCTTGGAAGATCACAGACATCCAAGGGATAAGTCCATCCTTCTGCACCCATAAAATTCTTATGGAGGACGAATACAAGCCAGTAGTACAACCACAACGTCGCCTGAATTCAAACATGAGAGAAGTGGTAAAGGAGGAAGTTTTAAAGCTTCTTGATGCCGGGATAATTTATCCAAGCTCTGACAACCCTTGGGTCAGCCCAGTACAAGTAGTTCCGAAGAAATGAGGCATGACTGTTGTTCCCAATAACAAAGCGGAACTCATCCCAACTCGAACAATCATTGGTTTGCGCGTTTCCATCGACTACAGACGTTTGAATGATGTTACTCGAAAGGATCATTTTCCTCTTCCCTTCATTGATCAGATGTTGGAGAGGTTGGCTGGTCATGAATTCTATTGTTTCTCGGATGACATGTCCGGATACTTTCAGATTCCGATAGATCCAACTGATCATAAGAAGACCACTTTCACATGTCCATATGGTACTTTTGCATATAGACGTATCCCTTTCGGGTTATGCAATGCACCTGCCACATTTCAAAGGTGCATGACAGCGATATTTGGGAATCTAGTTGAGGATGTTGTAGAGGTTTTCATGGATGGCTTCTCTGTCTATGGAGATTCATTTCATCATTGTCTATCAAATATGGAGAAGGTGCTTATTCGATGCGAAGAGACACATCTTCCATTAAACTGGGAGAAGTGTCACTTCATGGTGACAGAGGGAATTGTTCTTGGCCATAAGATCTCAAACAAAGGCATCGAAGTTGATCGTGCAAAGATCGAGACAATTGCTGCTCTTCCACCACCATCTTCAGTAAAAGCCATATGTAGTTTCCTGGGCCATGCAGGATTCTATAGACGCTTCGTCAAAGATTTCTCCAAGATTAGTCAACCTTTGACCAAGCTTCTCAAAAAGGATGTATTTTTCTCATTTGATGAGAAATGTCTTCTAGCATTTTAGTTCTTGAAGGAAAAACTCACCAACTCTCCCATCCTTATGGCTCCGCATTGAAACCTACCATTTGAGCTCATGTGTGATGCCAATGATTATGTAGTTGGCGTTGTGTTGGGACAAAGAAAAGAGAAGAGGTTCCATCCAATTTACTATGCCAGCAAAACTTTGAATGATGCTCAAAGGAACTACACCACCACAGAGAAGGAGATGTTGGTCATTGTCTTCGCCTTCGACAAATTTCGTTCATATTTGGTGTTATCCCATACAGTGGTCTTCACAGATCATTAGGCACTTATATACCTTTTATCATAGGGAGATGCCAAGCCAAGACTCATTCGATGGATCTTAGTACTCCAAGAATTCAACAAAGAGATCAAAGACAAGAAAGGAGTCACAAATGTAGCTGATGATCATCTATCTCGATTGGAGGGTGCTGAGTTTGCTATTTTTCCGGTTGAAATCAATGAGTCATTCCTGGACGAACAACTCCTCGAAGTCATCATCAAAGAAGCTGAAGGACCATGGTTTGCAGACATGGCCAATTACCTGGCTGTGGGACGACTTCCCCAACACCTATCATATCAAGCAAAGAAGAAGTTCTTTGCTGACCTAAAGCATTACTTTTGGGATGATCCATTCCTATTCAGGATAGGCTCTGATGAGAAAATCCGTCGATGTGTTCCTATCACCGAGGCACATAATATCATCCATCATTGTCATTCCGGCCCGACAGGAGGCCACCACAGTGAAAATCGTACAGCAAGAAAAGTATTGGAATCAGGATTCTACTGGCCCACTATTTATCGAGATTGTGACCACTTTGCTAGAAGCTGTGAAGATTGTAAACGGATTGGCAACATATCTCGCCCTGATCCCTCTCTGCATGACGAATATGCTTGATAATTGCAAAATTTTGAGCGTGAAACCATTGTTGAGGACGATGGAGGCATAGGTTTACCGCATTGCCCAAATGACTACCCAAAACTTAATATCCTCTAGTCAAACCCCGTTGAGACGAACTTAGTTGTTCGGTGACAACCAGTTTTAAACCAATCCCTGTTCTTCAAGCCATATTATTTTGAACCTTTTTTCAAGGTTCCATTGGAATGGTTTAACAAATGACTTTCTGCTTATTACATAAAAAAATAACTTTGGAAATTGGGAAAAATTGTTTCTAAAAGTGTTGTTCTTGAAATAAATATTTTGGCCACTCTATAAGAAAAAATGAAACATGCAGATATGCATGATAATAAGAAAAAAAGTGGGTCATCAATTTCTTGCACTTACAAAAAGGAGTTGTTCTTCAAAAGTCAAATTCGGCTACTTTCAAACTCCAAAATATCTCTAAATGCTTTCTTCCATTCCAATCATCCTACTAAAAAAGCAGCAAGGTCATGGTTTTGGTATGAAAATTGTGGAACCTTTAACTTACCACCAGATTAAATGAACTTTCACATGTCCATGCCCCCAGCCACAATGTTACCCATTCTAAAGACCTTCGGACAAGTCAATGGTGGCACAAATTTGAATACTCGAATGATATGCTCATGGCAGAGAGATGGTAGGGCGAGTATTGTTAAAATGTATGTAAAAGTCATCTTTACTTTTGCATACATTCATTCCCTGACCCCACTGGTCGAGTGTGAGAGACTTTCAATCATCTCTAAAAATTCAAAGTGAGATCCTACGTGCTCTATCTCTCATGCTATGCTTTGTGATTCCTATGTTTGAACAATTGAAAATGATGAGAACTAATCCGGATTTCATGAAGTTCTTGCATCTAAGTCAGAGTTTCTCGTGTCACAGGAGTGTTATGATCAAATCTCGTATGTGGTGGTTGCCAACATCCATATTATAATATTTTTTGTGTCGATTTTGATTGTTACTTGTGATTCACCTTATTTCCCACTATGTGTGTTTGTGAGTTTTGATTAACAGGAAACAGGTTTTACAATTAAACTCGGGATTTATGTGCTTTACTTGAGGACAAGCAAAGACTCAAGTGTGGGGGAATTTGATACGCCTAGAAATACACATATTTATTCCCATATTTAAGTATCCAATTGGCTTGTAACACAAAATAAGTTCAGTTGTTTTCCAGTTTTACACTTGGTTTTGTGTGTTTTGATGTTTCAGAATATTCAGAGACATGTAGGAGAGAAAAGGGTCAACTCGTCTCAAATCGTGATTGAAAAGGAGAAATGACGAACCAACGTTGGAGATGGGATTTTGAGCTCAAGATGAGTACTCAAAATTGTCAAATTTGTACCCCATGCAACCAAGCTCAATGCTTATACATATTTATTCCCACGTTTAAGTAGGGGTGGCTATTTGGACCTGGACCGGATTAAAAATCGGAAACCGGACCATATAACCCGGACCGAGACCGGACCGGGACCGGATACTAAATAATCCAATCCAATCTTTGGGCTTAGATTTGAGGTAAAAAAACCGGATAAGAGAGCTCAACACCCAAAACTTAAGGGTAATTTGCATAAACGGTCACAAACCTTTGCACTTAGTACAAAACTTAACCAACTCCTCACCCTTTAAGGCCTTAGGCCACTCAAATCCCACAATCTCAATGTAAAATCAAGACCGAATTGGGACCGGACGGATCAAAACCGGACCAGATCAAGACCGGACTGTATCCAATCCAATCTTTGGTCCTTATATTTTCAAAAAGACCGGACTGGACCGGATCAATTTGGGCCAATTTAACCGGACCGGACCGTATAGCCACCCCTACATTTAAGTATCCAATTGGCTTGTAACACAATATGGGATTGTGTGTTCCCCCACTTGTTTGTGTGTTCCCCTACATTTAAGTATCCAATTGGCTTGTAAGACAATATGGATTGTGTGATCCCCCACATTTAAGTATCCAATTGGTTTGTAAGACAATATGGGATTGATTATTTTTTCTGCTGCGAATTTTCTTTTAAAAAATGTGTTTGTGTGTTCCCCTACTTGTTTTTCACGTCCAATTTTAGTGTGGGGGTGTATTGTGTGGCGTGAACTTCATAATTTTATTTATATGTGTGTTCTATGGAAAAAAAATTATGATATTTAAAAAAATTGTTTTGTTTTAATGGTGGGTATCTTTTGTTTGGATTTGAATTTCGTGAT